AAGAAAGAAAGAAAGAAAGAAAGAAAGAAAGAAAGAAAGAAAGAAAGAAAGAAAGAAAAGAAAGAAAGCCAGCAAAGCCAGCAGCAACCCAGTGGGAGAATACAGAAATAAAGTAATTGGTTGGATAAAACTATGATAAATTTTATTTGAGAAATAAAAAACTTTACATGAATACTGAACACTAACATTTTTTTAATTTTATTTTTCTTTTTAGTTACATTTTGTTAACTCTGTGTCCCCACTATATCCCACTCCCTCATTCCCTCCCCAACCCCACACTCCCTCCCTGGTCTCCTCCCTGCCCCTTTCCAAGTCCACTGATAGGGAAGGACCTCCTCCCCTTTCATTTGACCCTGTTTTATCAGGTATCTTCAGGGCTGGCTGTTGAGTCCTCCTCTGTGACCTAACAGGACTGCCCCTCCCCTGGGGGGGGGGAGTCAAGGAGCCTGACCTTGAGATCCTGTTAGAAATAGTCCTTGTTCCCCTTACTTTGGAAAACTACTTGGTTACTGAGCTACCACGGGCCACATCCGAGCAGAAGTTCTAGGTTATATCCATAGATGGTCCTTGGTTGAGTCCGGGAACAATAACATTTAATTTGGGTAGCAGTCTGGGGTTGGAGGTCAGGAAAGAATTCTTTGAAGAAAAATGGGCCAGTCAACACCTAAGAGCTGAGTAGGCAGAAGGCAGAAGGACAGCTGTAGACAAGGTTGTCAATCAAGGAGGGTAGCCTTGCCCAGGTCATGAGACAGGAAGAGCCGTGACCAGGAAGGTAAGACAAGCCAGTGATGACACTGGGGGTGGAGGAGCAGGAATTGAGGGACAAAATCATTCAGGCAATGCTAGCGGACTCTGATGTTCCCAGATTTAAATTTTTAAGGGCTCCTGTGATTTTTATATGCAAAATACACCAGAGAAGGAGGAGGCTGAATTGAGAACATCAGGAATAATCAGCTGAAAGCTCCCAACCTTCCTTGGTTTTTCCAGAGATACATATGCATGTTGTTCTTTCATGATTCTGTCTGCCATGATTGCAGTTTTGATCTGATGACTTAGATTGTTTAATTCTGCCATTTGTAGAAGTCTGGACTTCCTTCTATTTGGGCAAACTCAAAGTATACAGCAAGCATTGACATGAAGGACAAACGAGTAGCCCCTACTTCATGCCTTCAGCTACACTGCAGCCCTACCTCAAGTATATTTGTAGACCTAACCCTTAATACCTCAGAAAGCAATGTATTTGGAGACAGATAATTAATCTAAAAGGTGCCCTAATCCACATGGGTGCCCTTAGAAGATTCAGCTCCAAGTGCTAAAACTACTGAGCTGAGCTGTTCAGGAACTTTATAGGATTATGAAACTACCACCCACTATGTGCCTATTGAACCAACAATGAATGGAGAAAGCAAACATGCCAGCTGGGTGTAGAAATGGAAGAAATTCCGTACAGAAGCAAGAGCTATGGGAAAAGAGAAGATAGCCATCTACAAACCTCAGAGGAGACATTGGAAGAAAGCAACCACAAGAGGCCCTGTTCATTAGCTTTCAGCATCGAGAATGAGAAAACAGATTTCTTTTATTGAAGCCAATCAGAATGTGTTCTTTTGTTACGGCATTACTAGGAAAATAACATGTGGTGTCTCAAAAACAAAAATCAAACCCCAAACCACATTATACAACACATCATAGAAAACATGTTCCCTTGGGGAACTTAAAATGTACTTATTTCTCAGCAGGAATGTCAATAAAAGAGAGATGGGTGTATCAGAGTGATTTTGGAGGGTAAGGGCTAGGGTAAGAATCAAAAGAATTCAAAGGGATGTGCTCCACATGTAAAGCAAGCTCAGCTGTCATTCAGTGGCTCCTGCTCAGGCCTCTAATGGCAGGCCTCTAACGTACTGCCAACACCCCAATTGTCATACACACAGGAGGCAGCACCTCCCCCACCTTGCCCACGGAAAGCAGTGGTGGGCAGGGTTTCAAAAGCCTTATGCACACTGGACAGTTGAAAGGTTTCCTTCACTGTTCACTTTTATTCTAATCACCAAGTGTGTGTCATTCACACATCTCCTGGTCTCCCATATATAAAATATTCCGGAAAACAAAGATAATTTTATGCCAGGGTCCATGACCTCAAAAAAGCCATGCTAGAGTAAAAGGACACATGTATGTTCCACTGATCGTCTTGGGCTGAACCATTGGTCTACACTGTCCCGACTCCCACATGATCCCTTTTCTTTCTGCCCATATTAAGTCAGGTGGAGCTATGGAGACTCAGTTTACTTTTCCAACTTCTTATCACTCACCAAGCAGCTTCTTTCTCTTTGAGGTCTCCTTGGCTTTGTTTTCTCATGAAAGCACAGCAGACACAATGGTCAAACTTTATTCCAGGTCAAGACCCCTCTTTTGTAAGCATTCCCTTAAAGTTAAAATGAAAACTGCTCTTTCTTTTCTGGCAATATATATATTCCAATTCTGCCTAAAATATCAAAGCCACGTAGCTGGTACCTCCTAAATGCACATAGCTTGTTGACCTTCCTTTGTATTCCTGCCCTCTCTGGGACTTTCCAACCACTGCCACCCTCTGAATTGCCCTCCCCGGCTCCTTTCTGTCACCTCTCTCTATCAGAAACTCACATGCAAACCACGAAGACACTTTGCTCACTATACAGGTGCATGTTCTGTAATTGTCTTTTGCTCTTTTCAAATGTATCTCATGCAGACCAGGCTAGTCTTGGACTTGCTATGTAGCCAGTGATGACCTTGAACTTCTGATTCTCCTGCCTCCACCTCCCCAGCACTGGAATTATGAGTATGTTTAACTATGGCTCTCTTGAAGGCTTCCTGTATGCAAGGCAAGAAGTCTACCAAATGAGTTTCACCCTCAGCCCCACTAAGGGAGGGGGGGGTGTGCTTTAGAATACTAGCTGAAACTGGCACTTAATGATTGGGTTGCCTTGCAAGCACTGACAGCACGACTATTAAATGTGCATATTATTATGACCAGACCCATACAGACCGCTGTGTACATGTTTTAGGGAGCACAAGGTATTTACAATTTCATGGATTTTTCTTTGGCTTGAGGAAAAGCTACAGAAAGATGAAAGATTAGATAAGCTACCTGTATTTCATTTTATTTTATTTTGCATATTCTATTGCTTCGAGCCCTCGATGTTACAGAAGGAGCAGAATTAAAAAGAAACAATGAGGAAAGACAGAACCTGCATGAGTTCCTTACAGAGAAAGAGTTACCTGGCAAAGCCAACGCCCCTGCTGACTCCGTTAGCATCTCTCAGGATTCTGGTGGATATCACGTGTCCAAAGGGCTTCAGCAGGTTCTCCAGCTCCTGCTCATCCATGGAGATGGGAAGGTTTGAGATGTACAGGTTTGTAGGGTCTTGCTCTTGTTGCTAAGGGAAGAAAAGGGAACAAATGATGCAGTGAGGTCTATTGACAGGTGCTGCACTTAAATTGCAAACTACAGTCTAAAGTCCTCCTCTGTTCTCAGAGGCCACTGATTCCCAGGCTGGCTTCTTAGGTAAGACAGAGAGCCCAGATAGCCTTAGAGAGCCCAGAGCAACTGTTCTAGTTAGGTTACTGTTGCTGTGATGAAACAACATGACCAATAAAACTTGGGGAGGAAGGGGTTTATTTCAGCTTACACTTCCTGGTAATAGTCCATCATTGAAGGAAGTCACGGCAGAAACCTGGAGGCAGGAGCTGATGCATAGGCCATAAAGGGTGCTGCTTACTGGCTTGCTCCTCATGGCTTGCTCAGCCTGCTTTCTAATTGAAGCCAGGACCACCACTCCAAGGATGGAACTACCCATAATGGGCTGGGCCCTCACCCATCAATCACTAATTAAGGAAATGTCCTACAGGCTTGCTTACTGCCCAATCTAATGGAGGCATTTTCTCAATTGAGGCTACTCCTTCTTCTACCCATGACTCTAGCTTATGTCAAGTTCACATGAAACTAAGCATCATGGTGGCATAGAAGTCATGACTCCCCTGCTCCCACCTTCCAAGCTCTCGGAGGACAGGTGTGCATTACCACATCTGGCCACCAATTCTCTTACTAAACTCCTTTCCTAGGCAGAACATTCCTCATAAAAAAAAAAAAAAAAAAAAAAAAGCCATCAATGACAGCCAGGCTCTCTGTCTACCCTTTCTTGTAAAATACATACAATCTTATAGTGCAGTTGAGTTTAGGCGAACACATGTAAAAATCACACTATATCCACGAGGCATCCACCAATGACACCCAAGCCCCAGATGCCACAGAACCCTGCAAGTTCATTTTCCCCATCTTTGTTAAGTGCTTGCATGACTTCTGTAGACAGAGAGATAGGTGACAGCAAAATTTACATGGATTTGTCTCTCCTCATAAATTCATGATAGCAGTCTCATTGTTATAGAGCTTGGCCACCCCGCCAACACAGGCCTTTTCCTCGAGTTGTGAACACTCACCTTCTCACCTGAAAGAAACACTGTAGCTTCTCTTGGCATGCTCATATGACCAGCATGCACTTTGAGGTTAGTGTAAGTGAAACAATGGCTCCTGAGCAGGCAACTATGGATGCAGTAGTGGGTCTGGTAACTGATGTGGGTGGCTGATGGGCAGGTGGCATATGTGACAAAGGACCGATTTACAAGCACAGCAGGACACAGCAGGGCAGGGCGAGAGATCACTGCATTCAGAATGGTGACTAGACATAACTAACATTGTGAACTCATTTCTGCTTACTGGTTTAAGACTGTGGTTTACCATGTTGAAGCCCGGAAGGCCAGCTGGTCACTGGAGGTTACTTCTACTGGCTACTGTTCTCTCTGCCCCGCGTCAGTCTAGGTATTCACCGTGTGTTCTTTTAGTCCTTATTTCCATACAGTATAGTTCACACTTCGTAGATGGCACATTATATCCCTAAGTCATCCATATGATACAAATGACAAGTGTGAAAGGCCAGGCATACTCCCTAGCTCGTCATCAAGGCTCCTAGAGTTATTGCTCTTTGATGCTGCCTCCTGCTAAGCCAGTGGGTACTATGATGTGACCCAGAAATTTAGTGTCAACATTACCTGATGCCAGGTATAAAGTATGCATCTATAATCTCAGAACTTAGGAGGTAGACCAATGAAAGCTAGAAGTTCAAGGCTAGGCTCAGCTGTGTGGACATGATGGAAATTTTTCTTAAATAAATTAATGAAAAAAATAAATAAAAAATTTAAAATATCACCTGAAACAGGCTAGGAATACCAATTCTCAGGACCACCTTGATATACTGAATTATGAACTCCACACACAGGCTTATTTTGACAAGTCCTCCAAATGATTCTCATAATTGTATCAATTTGAGAGTTGCCATCTCAGACCAAGCAGGAATACTTATATGCAAATGAGCTCATTAGGTCTAACATTTCATTGAGAGCTAACAATGCTTATGCAAGCTTTATTTAACAACCTAGGAAAGAAAACCACAACTGCTAGCATTATCTGTATGTGTGAATATTTTATAATTCATATATGAATTAATAAATGGAAACACGGTCATGTGTATGTTGAAACAGTTGTGTTGTCAGAAAAAACAGTGGTCGGAATGCCATGATTAATTATAAATATCAAAATAACTCAGACATTCAAGTTAATTAATTTAATCAATTAAATTATAATTGAAGCATTATAATTTAGCCAAAACAAAACCTTAGGTTCAAGAATAAACAAGAGATTAAGCTGGTAAAAGTAACCCAAAAATCTTCTGGAATAAGTGAATCTTTGGTTTTAAAACTAACTAGAGACTATGAAAATGCAAATCCAAAAATTTTAGGTCAATAAATAATTTTATAGCACTAGTGTGTGTTCTTGTTCAGCTAGTGGTGAAAGGCAGTTTGGACAGGTGCAAAAATAAATTCTCTTTTGCAACCCAGAACTCATTGTTATGTATGAGTTTTGATACATACAAGAAGGAATTCTAAAAGGAAGAAAAAGAAATAATTTTCATACAAAACTAGACTGCATTATTTTTTAGTGGGTTTACCAGATAGGCCACAACATTTTTCTTAATTCTTGAGATAAACAAGGCTGTGTCGTGGAGAGACGACTCATTGGATAAGAGCACTTAAAGCTCTTATGGAGGACCTGGGGATCTGATTTCCTCTTCTGGGCTTGCATGTGTGTGGTATGCCTACACCTGTGCAGGAAAACATGTATACACAGAAAATTTGAAAATAAATAAAATATCCAAGAAAAATCTACCACTGAGCTTGTTATTTAAACATGACTTATTTTTTTTAACATTTTCATTACCAGGAAAATAGCAAGAATGAACACATCTATATGAAAAGGACCACGGCTTTAACATTTGGAATGGTGTTTATATGGGAAATGTATAACTGACATCCTTGTTTCATTTCCACCTCCTCTCTCCATCACACACACACACACACACACACACACACACACGCAAAAATACTACTACCAACAAATTTCAAATGTTGTAATCATAAAAAATGCGATATTATTTTTCCATTAACTGGCTGAAGGTCTCTCTGTCTCTTCCTCTCTCTGATGCTTCAGATACATAATAATGAGCCTCATGCACATAAAACTTTCAAATTTTACAGCATTTTACTATCCATCACTTAATTTTAATCTTCCCATCATAACTGTAAAGGTATTTTGGCAAATATCATCATTCGTATTGGATAATGAGGAAAGAGAGCCATGAAAGATTCATCACTCTGCCCAAGGACAATCTGATAATTAGTGACAGAGTTAGAATTAGACTTACAACCAGCTCAGTGTTCACCAGGTTTTCATCATTTGCATATCAGCTTTCAGAGTATTATTATTATTATTATTATTATTATTATTATTATTATTATTGCCTGCCATGTACTATTTATTTAAAAGGTTTCTCTAAAACTAACATGCCTTTAGGACTTACATGAACTCATTTTAAAAACACAACTTTCTCCTGCCATAAACAGAAAGCTACTCTCAGAATGGTGACCAGATTAAGGAATTAATGGTATTTGTTTGTGGGCGATTTGACATTTCTAGGTGACTCTGATGAGAAGGGGATGCTCAGTGAAGAGAGAGGCACAGTAGCAGGTTTGTTTTACACTGGAAGAATCAGGTCTGACGAAGAACTGAAGAAGAAACGCCTTTGTCTTAATGCGTTGAGGATGAAGGCTGGAGGGCAATTCCAAGAGCTCACTCAGGAAATCCTTCATCTCCCTTGAGACAGGCTTTCTGATTGGCCTGGAGCTCACCCATTAGGCTGGACTGGCTAGCTAAAGAGCCCCAGAGACACACCTGTCTCCTCCCCAGTGCAGGGATCAAAGCATCAGCCAGGGAGTGTCCTATTTTTCCATGGTATGGTGGTTTGAGTAAGAATGGCACCCATAGGCTCATGTTTGTCCACTTGGTCTCCAGGATGGAACTGTTTGGGAGGGATTAGAAGCTGTGGTCACTAGGGCCAGGCTTTAGAAGGTTTGCACCATCCCCAGTTAGCATTCTTTCTGCCTGATGGTTGTTGTCTCATGATGTAAGCTCTCAGCTTCTCTCCAGCGCCATGCCTGCTTGCCTGCCTGCCTGTTGCCGTGCACCTCACCATGACAGGCATGGACCTTAATCCTCTGAAATTGTAAGCCCCAAATAAAATTCTTTTATGAGGTGCTTTGGTAATGGTATATTATTACAGCAATAGCAAAGTAACCAAAATGCTTGGGTCCTGGGATCAAACTCAGATCAGCAAACTTGCAAGGCAAGCGCTCTGGTAACAAACATATGTCCCCTCACTAGGAACACCATGGTTTTCTATGAAAAATATATTGAAGAATAGCTACTCAGCTGGGCATGGTGATGCATGCTTTTAATCCCAGCACTTGGGAGGCAGAGACAGACGGATCTCTGTGAATTCCAAGGCAGCCTGCTCTACAAAGCAAGTCCAGGAAAGCCAACGCTGCACAGAGAAACCCTGCCCAGTGACCTAGGAGTTCCTGCACTTGCCCAGAATTTACCATGGAGTAGTCATAGCCCATCCAGGTTCATTTCATAGTAAGAGCTAACCCAACTCTCTGCACTCCTTTGCCCTTGGTGAATAGCCCAAGACTCAGATGATATCACTGTCTCAAATGCTACTGGGATTTCTGTCACTTTCAGTAGGCTAGTTAATCCCATTTCAAATCTACGTCTGAATTCGCTAAGTGTTGAGCATGCTGCAAACACTCAGCAAAGTACTATGAACACACTGAGCATAGTCTACAAAGGATTGCCTAGTAAGCTATTTTTCTGAATCTAAATTCAAACAGCAAGTCCAGTTCCTTAATTGGTATTCACAGTGACAATATAGCATTTGATGGGGTCATTCCTTAATTTGTATTCACAGAGAGAATAGGGCTTTGGGCAGTGATATTCATTAAATAGTTCCATCTCTTGAAATGCAGTGTTAGTCTTGAATACATTGGTTGACAATAGAATTTAAGTTCTTCGTGGAATGAACTTTAAAATACTACACACCCTATATTTCTCCTTACAATTTTATTTACACATCAGACTTATCTTAAGCAGTCATTTGGGGGAAGGCTGATTGGTGTTATAAACCAAATGAGTACTTTTAACTGTTTAGAAGAACTTCACCTGTGATAGCTATAACCTAAAAGGACATTAAATTTTTTCTTGAGCTATTTAATCAGTTCGCTTATCTCTTTATTTTGAAAGAGTGTCTTATGCGTCCCAGGCTGGTCTGCAGCTCACTGTGTGGCTAAGGATGACCTTCCACACCTAGCCGTACTGCCTTGGTTCTGAGTGCTAGCTTCACAGGCATTTATCTGCATCTGGCCTACATGATGCTGGGGTCTGAAGACCTGAGGCCTGCTTGGCAAGCAGCCTACCAGCTGAGCTGCTTCCCCATCCTCTGGCTTTACTCTTTAAGAAGAGGTAGTTTCAGAATGAACATAAGGGGCAATGATTCATTTTATTTTGTCATTTGACACACATAGACACACTGAAAATCAGGGACTGCTGTTGGTTGCCTCAAGGCCATTCAATGCATCTGAAATCAGCTGGAAATAAAATAGGTAAGGTCCAGTCCTTTTACACCTAGTCCGATGACCTTACCAACTTATAATGCTGAGTTTACTCTAAACAGCCAATGACTATGAAAAGGGTCATTCCATAGGTCAGGGCTCTATGGGATGTTAGTAAGAGACAAATCAGTGTCTCTGAATTGTTCGACTCATCTTTTCTCAGACTTGGCTATCCTCCCTTCCCCTGCCCCCACAGTTGCTGAATGGACACTGTGGAGAATATATGAGGTGGTAAAAGTACACAGCTCCTGCCTGTTTAACTGCCTGTGTCACCATCAGTAACTCCTCCATCCGGGCTGGTTGTACATCTCTTCATGTGAACAAGGATTCTTGACATATCGCTTCATTGTATTAATCTTGTTCATGAAAAACTTAGAATAGCAGTTTCTCTGTTGTTAATGAGAATAGAAATGTGTCATTTTACCCAAGAATATATTTTCCCTGAAATGAGTTCTCCCCTACTCTTCCCCTCAAGGTTTTGGTTTTATAAACTGTCAAAATGGAATTAATTCATTTCAAATTTGCTTCTTTCTAGTTAGGGCAGCATCAGAATGCTGGAGCATTTAAATAAGCAACACCGTGTGTGCTCCTGTAGAGAGGGCACAGTGCCCTCATCTAGGTCAGACTGCTGGCGGAGGCATTAGGCCTGAGCAGGCCTGGAGGTCACTGAGGATGGACCATTCTCTCATGATCAGGACCTTGTAATACTGGAACAGGAGCTTCAGGGTTGTAATTACCAGGCCAGAGAATGAGATCTGAGTCATGTCTCTGGCCCTGGGTGCAGACAGAACATTCTGAACTCCCCAGAAGGGCATACGATTATGATATAGCCAGAGGCTTTCTGATAAAGAACAAAGAAATCCTACTTCACCAGCCCTCAACAGTTAATCTAAAGTGGGCCTGTCAATCACTGGGCAGGAAAACAGTCAGCAGGAAACCTGTTCATTTTAGAGAGCTTAAGAAAGAGAGTAAAGCATGCCTAATGCATAGGTTAGCACAGCAGGCTGCCCTTGAGATGGATTTTCATCCACAAGTGTCCCTTCAGTGGAGACAGTGAGACAAATAAGCTTAGCATATGGATGAGACATGCACAGTACAGCACTAATGAGAATAGCCAAGATTGGGAACACACTGAAATGTTAGTCAACTGATCATGATTAAAGCAAATGCGTTCCCCTGTCCTGATAGTCAGTCATACCCAGAAGGGAAGTCTGTCATTTGAGACAAGTTGGAGATCGTGTCAGGTGAACGAAGCCACCACAGAAAGGCAAGCACCACGCACACTCCAGGGAATGTACAGTCGGTGATTCCACTGAAGCTGAGAGCAGAGAGACAGTGAGACAGCTCAGCAGGTCTGGACACTTGCTGCCCTCATGACACCCCAAATTCAATCCCTGGGGCATATAAGGTCAAAGGAGAGAACAGACTCCTCAAGGATGTCCTCATGAGCACTCTGTCATAGCTACATCTACACACACATTAAAAATAATTTGAAAAAGAAGTTGAGAATAAAATGGGGTTGACAGAAGCTGAAGAGAGTAGTGGGATTAAGGAAAGAGGGAAGATCTATTTGAAGGTACCACAATACAGTTACAGAGCTTCTGGTCTTCAGCCCAGGAGAATAAGCACAAAAGCCTGAATTCACTTCTCATTTCAAAAACCTGGAAGAAAATATTTTGACCACCTTCATCATCAATGTAAAATAAATATTTGCAGAAAAACACCATTTAATGTGATCTTAGTTTCATACAACGTATACATAAAGCAAATGAACTCAGCATATGAATGAGATTCCAAGAACCACTTCCCCCAAATAAAAATGAGTACAGTTCTCTTAAAAAGATGGATCATAAAGAGCTTTTAACTGTTTCAGACTTAATC